ATACTTGGTTCTGCCCTCCGCCTGACCCAGCAGGACCCAGCAGGACCCAGCTAGCCGTCCTGGTTTCAGAGTGCCAGGCCCTCGCTGGGCAGTTCTGGGGGATCTTTGCGTTTCTCCTAACAGAGCTGGCACCTTGGGGTGATGATTCCTGTTTCTGGTTGAGAGGCGAAGGGACTTTAGGCACTTGCCTGAGAGCCTGGCTCATGAACGGCTGAGCTGGGTTCACCCCAGTGCTTCTGATTCCAAAGTTCATGCTCCTTCAATTAGAACAGGAGACATCAGCCCTTTTCAACAATAGTTGGCTAAAATTTTCCCCAGAAGCAACGATATAAATAGTGATTAAGTAGGAAAAAAAGAGACAGGAATGAAAAAATACCAAAATGTTAATAGTTGCTGTCATTTTCAGTCCTATGATTGGGGAAATCATATATGGGGAAATGCATTCCTGACCCCAAATAACCAGTTTAAAGTCAGTTTTAGAAGGCAGCTGGTCTGTAAACTGAGGATTACCTGAGTATAGATCCTCTCCTGTTTGGAAAAACTCTTTTTTCCTCATTGATTTCAGCTAAAGGTCCAGCGTGTGATAAATCGATGGGGTAGAGTAAAGCCGTCTGGCTGTGTGTTCTTGGGTTAATTCACGCAGACTTCCCTTTCCGACGCTAGGTGTTAACATGTATCACCACTTCTGTGACTTCCTCAACCTCTACCTCACCCAGCACGTCAACAACTCCTTCAGCACGGACGTGTACGTCGTGATGTGGGACACGGTGAGTCCGCTGCTTGCGCTCCGCTCTGTCCTGCTCCACAAATCCGCAGCTCCGCCGTGGTGGACGGAACTTTCTAAGACACCCACACTCAAGTATACACACAGGTACACACGTGCACACGTGCACACGTGCAGGTGAGCGGGGCGTGTCTGTGGGCGTGTGTGTACATGGATGTGTACAGAGGGCTGGATACACAGGCAGGTTTATGCTTTCGTTCTGGGAACTGTAGAGGGAGGCAGTGGGCAGGTGGCGCTCCAGAGACCAAAGGCCCACCTAGTGTTTCTCTGAGACAGACAGACGGTCCCGCCCTGACCCCCGTGACCCGCGCATGCCCGTGGGAGAGCTGCCTCTGTTTACAGTGTGGCCCCCTCGTTACCCTGTCCTTGGCCCCGTGCAGCCTCCCAGCGCCGCCAGCTTCTCGACAGCTGTGCTGCGTGGGGGGCTCTGCGGGGCGGGCCCACGGCGTCGTCAGTGCTCCGCCCGCTCTTGGCTGCTTTGTTCTTACTGCTGTCTGTTTTCCCTCTCTCTCTTTTCCTGCCTTTTCCGTACTGGCCCCTCCCCCTGCCAAGGTAACCCCCCAAGCGTTGCTCCAGTGCCCCGAGCTGTGAAATGGGACAGTCGTAGTCTCCACCTGAGTGTCATTTTGAGAATAAATCGTACCGTGTACGAATAGTCACAGTGTGCGACACGGCACGTGTGCTCTGACGAGGACAGTGGTGAGAACATGGGGCTTATTGTACACACAGGACAGGCTGCCTGACTGGGGAATAGGAATGCCCACCGAGAGGTTATCTGAGTTCAGCTAAACTCCCCACTCCTGGGATGCTCAGGGCCCCTCTCGGACCAGCCCGTGGGGAACGGCCCGCAGGGGACCCCCAGCCGGCTGGCAGGGAGCATCCGCCACTTCTGGAGGGAGCCTTTCTAGCAGCCCGCACAGCACAGCTCAGTGCAAGGAGACGGGACCCACCTAGGACAGGCACAGGTGCCTCGTGTCCCACAGGATGTCCCCCGAGTGTCCCGGGACAGCTGCGTTGGCAGTGTGTCCAGGACCTCCACAGAGGGGTGGCCATTGCCAGAGCCATTACACTGTTGCCCCGTCCAGGACAGTTTATCGAGCAGGCATCTTTTCATCATAAGCAACGTGACCTGGAAGCGCAGTTCTCACGTGCTGTCTCCATCTCCAGAGAGCAGCGTTAGACAGCTGGCTGATGGTCCAGTTCTTGTGCAGAAGGAGAAATCTTTTTGCTAACATTTTTTCACTTATATGAAGCTCGTAGTCAGGCTACGCAGAGAGGTTTCCATTTTCACTGCTCCCGAGACCTGTAGATTGCTGTGAAGTCTGATAAGAATTGGTTCTCTGAGTGTTGGCCGTGAGGCTGTCTCTGGTTCTCTGAGTGTTGGCCGTGAGGCTGTCTCTGGTTCTCTGAGTGTTGGCCGTGAGGCTGTCTCTGGTTCTCTGAGTCTTGACCTGGAGACTGTCTCTGGTTCTCTGAGTCTTGACCATGAGGCTGTCTCTGGTTCTCTGAGTCTTGGCCGTGAGGCTGTCTCTGGTTCTCTGAATGTTGGCTGTGAGGCTGTTCCTGGTTCCCTTCTTTCATGGATTTACATTTTCCTTGTCTCCCAGTTTTGCTGACACCGCACTTTCATTTCTTGAAAATGTTTCTGGAGCACAGGGCACACCGTTACTTCCTTTTCCTCTTTTGTGTGAGGCCACAATCACTGGCCGTCAGCTGCCCTGACCAATTAATCAGGGTAGTGGTGCCTGTTTAAAACTTAAGCCTGATATTATCTCATTTAATACAGTGGTCAGTGGATGAGTGTTGTGGTAGCTTATTTGCCAGGTAAGGAAGCCAAGTCCCTGGGCGGCGGGCATCTGTCCTGGAGAACAGTAAGCGAGGGTTGGAGGCAGGGTTGCTGTGTGGCCAGCTCACCCCAGATCTGCGCCCGAAGCCACGGTGCTTTATCCCCTACTGAGAGGTCCCTGCAGAACCTGTAGCATTGATGGGAAGCTCTCCAGACACTTCCAGAAGCTACCATATCTTGCTCGTGCTTTTCCCTGTCTCCTCAAGAGCCCGAGTCAGGCTGAGCTGGCCTCTCCACCCACCATCTTTGTGCTGCTGGAGGGGGTGTGGGCTGCTCAGCCACGAGCTCCCTGGGCACGGGTGTCAGGCTTTGGACTGACTGGGGCTGGCTGGGCAGGCAGGTGGGATTTAGTCCAGCAGGCGGGCACCCAATGTTACCTTCTCCTTGGCTGCTCTCTGCGTCCATCGTAAACCTGCGTCTTGGTCGGAGAGGCTTTGGCCGGCTGCTTGCTGAGATTCTCAGGACGGCAGGTCTGCGGGTGGCTCCAGAACCGAGGCCCCCAGAATGCTAACGGTTGTATGAGGATAGCGTGAGGTGTTGCGTGGCCACCAACGTTCCTCTTTAGCTGGTTAGGCCTTGAATGACCCACACTGTGGCCCCGGCTGGCTGTGATCCGAGGCCCTGACGGTGACAGTGCTGCCGGAGAGCCGGGCCTGAGGGCCCTGCGTGCGTACTGGGCCCAGGAGAGGAGCAGGGAAGTGGCTGGGGCTGCAGGTCAGAGCTTGCTGACCTTTGACAAACTGTCCCCTGAGAAGCCTGTGAGGCATTCCCTCTGGTCCTTGCAGAATCAGGCACTCGGCTTCCTGGAGGGACCCGCCCGCAGACCTCCTGGCCTGGCAGGCTGTTCTCATGAACAGCATGAAGAAAAGGGGAGGTGACTGCAGGCTTCCTAGCTTCCTTGTGCAGAGACGTAATCTAGCTTTATTCTGTTATAATGAGTTTTGGTCGCCAGAAGTCTGTAATGATAAAATAAACTCTTCCTCTTCTCCAGTTCCATTTCCCTTAAAGGGAACTGAAGCCAACACGTGTTGGCTGACTAAGGCTTGTTTACTTGAATAAATGTAATATCCTTACGCAAAGTGTGCTAACCCAGTGCCATGTGGACACCGTTCCCTGCCCGGGCATGGAAGGCTGTCAGGATTGTTGGTGTGATGTTGGGTGGGTGCCTCGGCACATGCACCTACTCTGTCCCCACCTGGCTCCTGTGTCGTTTGCTTCCAGTCCTTCGCTGGCTGCTGGAGGGCATCCTGCCCACACACATGCCTTCACCCTCATCTCGGTGTTACTGTGGGACAGGTTCCTACAANGAGGGCTGCGGTGAGCATCCTGCCCACGCACATGCCTTCACCCTCATCTCGGTGTTACTGTGGGACAGGTTCCTACAAGGAGAAGTTCTGAGTCACAGGTTATGTGCGTGTTTAAATGAGACATACACAGCAGGAAATGGTGTGTAATTTTNAGGAGAAGTTCTGAGTCGCAGGTTATGTGCGTGTTTAAATGAGACATACACAGCAGGAAATGGTGTGTAATTTTTAGGAACATCCAAATATTCCTCAGTGTGAGACCGGGAAGAAGTCCCTCGGTCGTCGTGGCAGGTGATTTGAATTTGAAGGAAGTGGAAAGCAGCTTCCGGAGGTGGTAGCTCCTGAACATGACACGATTTCTCGGAAAGGTTATTCAGGAGTGCTGCACCTGTTATCAAATTTTCCTTTCAAAGGACCTTACTTTGTCTGAAGCATGTTATCTCAAGAAACTGTCTAGTCAGTTTAATTGCCCTTTATTATTACCAAGCCAGGACCCGGGCATTTCATTTTTGGTGGTGGTGACAAGGGCCTTTGTTAGACTGGCATCGGAGAGGCATTGAAGGAAGGAATTATTTTTTTATCACCACATTTAACAGTTCTCAATGATTTTATTTTATTTTTGTTAATCCTCACCTGAGGATAATTTTTTCATTGATTTTTTAATTTTATTTTTAGAGAGTGAAAGGGGAGGGGAAAGTGAGCAAGCCAGCGAGAAACATCGATGTGAGAGAGACACATTGATTAGTTGCTTCCTGCACATGCCCTGACCAGGGCCTGGGATCAAACCTGCAGTCCAGGTGCTGCCCTTGACGGGGAATCAAACCCGAGACCCTTCTGTGCACAGGTCGATGCTCTAATCACTGTGCCGCACCGGCCAGAGCAACAGTTCTCAATAACTTTGAAATAACTCTAAAATGTGCAACATAAAAACTTCATAATCTGAACAAAGAATGCTATAAAGATAAAAAGGCATGAACATAATGAATATAATCTATAACCAGCTGAGATTTTGATATCTCTCATTTCTGTTGGCTGATTTTTAATCTAAGTTATACTATTTTAAAATAAATTCATCTCCCTCCTTTAGCTGATGGAGCATGTAATTTCTATTTTTCAAACATTACATGCATTTGGTAAAAGTACTGGAAAGAACTCGCTCCCTCTGAGGGTCAGCTGCCCTGCCCAGACAATGAACATGGAGTCCTGCAACCCAACAGATGGGGTTAACCCCAGCCCTGCACACACACCAGCTTTACAACTCAGAAAAATTACTTAAACTTGTGCCTCAGTTTCTTCATCTGTAAGAAGGGGGGCATGATATTACATAGCTCATTAAGTTTGTGGGCAGTTTAAGGTGCTTAGAACAGTGCATGGGATATAGGAACATGCAAAATGCTAGTATTATTGTTACTATTATTAATGTTAATAGGAAATTATCACATTACTCATTAGTCATTGGGTAGATAATTTCTTAGAGTTACACACATTATATTTTTATTGTAAAAATTTTCAAGGCATATTTCTTCCTCTGAAAATTTCTTTCTAAAGAAATTTACCCAAACGCTTTTGTTCACCCAGTGTATGAGAGTGCACAAATGGTGGTGTGTGTAACTTGGGTAGAAAACGCACAGGAAAGAGCCCACAACAATTAGAGTTGCAGATGTGAAAAAAAAAGGGCTGTGGTGGAGAAACAAACCACTGTTAGACTAAGATTATAATTGTGGTGGTTATTTTTGATGATATTATATCAAATTAGGCCCAAGGTGAAATCCGTTTTTCTTATATGGACTTTTTTTAAAATTCTCACCCGAGGATATTTTTTCTATTGCTTTTTTGAGAGAGTGGAGGGAGAGAGAGAGAGACATCGATGTGAGAGAGATTGATTGGTTGCCTCCTGCTCAGGCGCCGACCTGGGCTGGGGATCGAGCCTGCAAATGAGGTCCATGCCCTTCATGGGAATCGAACCTCGCACCCTTCAGTTCTCGGGCTGATGCTCTAACCACTGAGCAGCCTGGACTTTGTGAGCTCATTTAGGATCATTTGTTCTTCATGCTAACGAGCTAACTCAGCGCATCGTTACATTCTCGAAAAGCCACATGGAATGATTCTGTTGTCCTGACTTTTGTTCCCACTTTCAGAGCTCCTATGGATACGGCGACCTGTTCTCTGACACGTGGAAGGCATTCACTGATTATGACGTGATACATCTGAAAACCTACGATTCCAAAAGGGTACCAGAGACTTTCCTGCCACGTCCGTCAATATTGTCATTGGGGATGACTCACTCATCAGATAAATGCTTACTTACTATGAGTTTCTAGTAGATGTTACCATTGATTTCTTTAGTTTCTTTTTTGATAACTGGAATCCTCATTGTTATTAACCATGTATCTTTTAAAAACATTTTTTATAGCTTTTCCAAAAACGCAAATTTCACTTGAGTGAAATAGTTTTATTCAAATATTTTAATGTAAAATAGAGGCTAATGGGAATTTATTTTCTGTAATTATAAGTGCTGTTTTGGTGTGAAGGGTACAGACTGTCTCCTCTTACCTCTTAAATGTCTTCCTGCTTAGGTGTGTTTTAAAGACGCAGTTTTTTCCCTGCTCCCCCGGATGAGATACGGGCTGTTCTATAATACCCCTCTGGTAAGAAGTTATCTGTTGTAAACATTCATAGTTAAAAATTATTCATCTGTTTTGAGATAACACTTGTATATAACTTGAGAACCTCTGAAATAGTAACAGAAATATTCTCTGTACTGTGAACTGCTCCCTTAGATCTCTGGCTGTCACGGTACCGGCTTGTTCAGGGCGTTTTCCCAGCATGTCCTGCACAGACTGAACATCACGCAGGAGGGACCCAAGGTAAGGACTCCGCGGCAGGCCCTCGGATAGTGTTGTTTCACTCAGTCATTGCCTTGTAGTGTTGATGAGGTGCCACAGGAGCGTAACTCAGTCAGCCTTTGGTAACGCTGGTTTCATTATGTGTCGTTTCGCTTAAAGTCGCAGAACCTATGAGAGGGTGCTAGTGAGAACGTACCGAGTTTCGGGTTCTGAGGTGGGCTTGACTTTACCCTGAATAAAAAATCAGAACCACCTTTGCAGAAAGAAAGAGTCAGAAGACAGTGTTGTCTGTGTTAACAGTTTCTGCACCTGAGTGATTGAAATCCAATGTCTTCTGAATGATAAACGAGGGACATGGAGAAATGTGCTTTCTTTTCCTTTCCTTTTGCCACGTTTCCCTGTACAGCCCCAGACCTCCACCTGAGCCATACCACTTCTGCTACAAAAGTCTACCCAGCCATCCGAACAAAAGTGTAATGAACTGGTTTTGTCTTCTGTGGCCAAAGTAGATGCATTTTTTAATTCCCTGAGAAAACTGTGAAGGAATTAGACTTAATTTTTTTAAAAATGTTCCATAAATGTATTCTTACTGACTTTCATTTCTTTGTGAAAGNTATTCCCTGAGAAAACTGTGAAGGAATTAGGCTTAATTTTTTAAAAAATGTTCCATAAATGTATTCTTACTGACTTTCATTTCTTTGTGAAAGTCACATTTTAGGTCCAGGTGTTCATTCATCTGTCNGTCACATTTTAGGTCTAGGTGTTCATTCATCTGTCCAGGCTTATACATCATTGTTTTGCCTTTGCCTTTTGATTACAGGGTGGAAAAATTAGAGTCACCATCCTTGCACGGAGCACAGAATACCGGAAAATACTAAACCAAAATGAGGTTAGTTTTTGGTATGCAGTTTTAATGTCATCATATTGAATTTAACTTCTTATAACTAGTGTGGTTTATTTTTTCATATTGCATTAAATACTTTGATTTGAACTTACTAGCCTTTAGGAAGGTTTCATGGCCATGCCCAGTTAATTTATTGGATTTTTACCGAAAGGCATCAAACCACTTGTTAGACTCCCAAACTCATTTCAACAGCATCAACTCATGAATTAGACTTAACCTCAGAAAGGTCACCGTGCCTGCGACACGACTGCAGATGCACTCATGGCAGTAAGGCTTATTCCACAAAAATGTATTGACCTGCCATGTGCTGGGCCCTGGTTCCGGGCCAGGTTACAAATGGGTAGGACCAGTTACAAGTTCCCCCTTCCTGCTGTTCATTCCTCCGTCTTGGTAACGGGTGATGACTGCTCTAACCACTTCCTGCCGTAAGGGGACGGTGAGTCAGGAACTTCCTGAGCTCAAGAAAGCATGAGAAATATGCTTGGAATACTAGGATCCTAGGACTGTATACAAGTAAATATCACAACCAAAAGGAAAACATTGTTTAAACCCAAACAACAGCAAGTTAAGATGTGTAATTTAGGGTTATACAGGCCTGGCCCAGAGCAGTCTTCCCAGATGTCTTTTTCTTCTCTTCTTGGCCAGGTGGGGTCTGTTGTCCTGTTTCTTTTGAAAAGTAACTGTCTAGAGGGACTTCACAGGGTCCGTTCCACTTGGGTTGTAGCTGACCCTCAGTGTTGACTGTTCCATCTTGAGGACCAGATAAAGTAGCACCTAGAGACTGCACACATCTTATAGCGTCTGACTTTTTTACAGTCTGCTGAAGGCAGGGTCTCCCGTGTCACATTTCAGACGGGCTCAGCTGGAGCTTGCTTCCAGGGGCTGCTCTTACCCTAAGCAGGGAACTGACGAGACCTCATCCTGAGTGAAGTTGGGTTCGTAGCATAGTCACCTTTCCTGTCATTCCTGGACCGAGGCCTCCATGGGCCATGTGATTTCCAAGCCTCCGTCTTTCCTGTGTGTCCTTGGCGTTGCCTGTGGGAGCACCGTCCAGCAACACAGTTGATTCCGTTAGTCTCTGGATCCGCCCATTCAGAGGCAGACAGTTCTTGGGACTTGGGACTCGGGTGTGTGGTAAAGGGCATCTTTAAGTTCAGAACTGTAAACAGCAAGGGTCTCCCCATCAAGTTGTAAGCACAGTAAAGGGATTTGGTGCCACTGGACATATATCCTCTGCAGGCAGTTAAGGGCTCTCCAGTCCTGTACAAAGCGGTCATCTGTGGTCCCCGACCTCTGTGCCGGCAGGCTAGGAGTGTTGGGTGGGGATTGATGAGATTGGGTTAATTGGCATTTAAGAAGGTGGCTGTCTGAGGTTTATAGGCCTCTCCAAAGGGTACTGCTTCAAGTTTGGAGTTTTAGTACCTGGACAGAGTTTTGCTACTCAGCATCTTGGCCCTCCCTGGCCCCTGTCAGCCTGAACATCGCTGTTACCTTTTGTAGAATTTACTCAAGGGTTTCTGGTTGGAGCTTGTCTTCTGATTGTAGTAGCGCAGCTTGGAGGGTACAGGCTTGACCTGGGAGAACACTGATGCCGGCTTTTTCTGATGAGAAAGTCACTTGGGCATTTAATTTTGTTAGTGGACCTCATCCCAACAGGGAGTAGGGCATCCGGGTGTCTCAAATGTTTCCCTGTGTGACGTTCGAGTGGCTAAAGAAGGGTCCAGGGGTCTCCCTCCACAGCTGAGGTTGCCATGGTTTTAGGGAAGAGGGGCCTTGTTTGGTATTTAGGACAGAATATGTAGCTCCAGTTTCTATTGGAAAGTCTACAAGTCTCTTTCCCACAGCATTTGCTGTCCAGGGTCCTTACGGGAAATGTCCAGCTAATAGCACCCCGAGGCCCCTGGGCCCCGTCATCCCTGGTCCTCACCAAGCAACTGTGGCATCTGGTGGGTTCATTCTTGGGAAGTTCCTTCCCCATCCTTTCCAGAACATTCTCATCTCGTGATTCTCGTTTAATATGCATGTTGTGGCAGCCCTAAAGGGGGACAGCCCTCACAGTCGGGGCTCCGGGGCCTCGACCACCGTTGTTTCCTCCAGCCAGCAACTTGCTGGGTCTTGAGTGAATGCTGGTGGTGCCGAGCTGAGCAGGGCAGCTTGTCTCGTGTCATGTGGTGAGCCTCAAAAACCTCGTCAGGAAAGGGGGGTGGGTGCTCCTTGGCCCTTGTTTGGGCCCCTTTATAAAGTCCCATTACCAGGCATCAGCTTTTGCTGGGCAGAGGATGGCACACCTTGGGCAGACCTGGGGGCTGCTCCGGGCCTTCTCCCCGCTCCTGTGTCTGCATGGAGCTGGCAGCACAGCCAGGCAGGGGCCCAGGGCAGGGGCTGGGGTGGGTGCCCAGCCCGACCCTGGCCCAGCCTCTGCCTCCCGTATGGCTCTGCCTGGGGCTCCCACAGTATCTTTGAATGGACATTTAATTTGCCTCTGAGATGTTCCTTCACTGAATTTGAACATATGTTACAATAATATTCAATATTTTAAAAGAGCAACTAGAATTATTTATTTATTTGACAAATCTTCCCATGTGATTTTAGTATATTAAATAGGCCACATTAGTTTAAAATTTCTCTTTTATAGGGAGAGAGAACAAATGTTTGAAGCATTTCAGGGGAATCACCCAAAGCCATTTCTAGGGTAAGAAAGTCTCCTTTCAAAACCTGGGCCCTGGGAACTTTGTCAAACTACTTAACCAAAAAGATCATACATCACTGTGAAACAGCATTCAGTCACCCATTTACCAAAAGTGACAATAAAAGATATCAAGCATATTGGCAGGTTAGGTTAAGGATTAATGTCTTCTCACTTTCACGATAATTAACGGGGGCTCCCATGTCTGAAGGACCACAGAGCTTTGGGCTGAGTTAGATGTTCCTCAGCATGGGGTGGGGGAAACACACACATAGTCACACACACAGTCACACAGATACACACAGTCACACAGACACAATCACAGACACACAGTGGTACACAGTCACACACATAGCCATAGCCACATGCAGCCACATGCAGCCACACGGTCATACACATACAGCCACACACTGACACCCATGGACACACACTCACTGCTGCCCACCCAGGACCCAGCCCCGTGAGGTGGAGGCTGACGGCAGTGGTCACGCACGTGCTGCTCAGGGCGAGGGTGGTCACCCAACCACCGCTGCGGCGCCCCCCTCACCCTCAGGGTCGGCTCAGAGGGCAACGTGCAGAACCTGAGGTTTCCACGGACGCTCGCAAGAGGCCCCACAGGCGCAGGACACACGAGACAGGACGGCAGCCCCCCAGGGCCTCCCAGGGCGGCGCTGAGCTGCAGTCCTGACCCTGCTTTGGGCAACCAGGGGACCCCCCACTGTTTCTTTTCCTGGAAAGTGACAGTAGAAAGTACCACGGAGGACAGGGAGTTTGTGTGCGCGGACCTCCAGGGCCTCGGGCAGGCGGTCACAGGCCACTTCCCTTTCTGCTGCCCGATGGTCACCGAGCGGGGGCCGCTGCCCGATGGTCACCGAGCGGGGGCCGCTGCCCGGATGGTCACCGAGCGGGGGCCGCTGCCCGATGGTCACCGAGCGGGGGCCGCTGCCCGATGGTCACCGAGCGGGGGCTGCTGCCCACGTACACAGAAGCCAGGGCTATGACATCGGCTTTGTAGGAAGGAAATGGCTTTGTTTGCGAGCCCATGAGCAGGCTCAAGCCTGTCCCCCTGATCCAGGGCCCCGTGAGACTTTAAGGGGTTTCAGCGCCAGATCTTCCTGGAAAACGGGCCTTTGCTTCTGAAAGGCTCTGCATTCAGGCTCCGGTCACGTGGGTCCTGTGAAAGGTTCTGTGGCGGGACAGCTAAGTGTTCCCCAGGGTCACCGGTGAGCTGCGTATCCCAGGTTTAACAGGAAGGGACCTGTGGGCTGTGAGTTACAGTCCTGCCCTATGCCTCGGGTCACTGACAGGGAGCACATAACAGTCAGCCACCCTCCGGAGGACTTTTATGAGGAGTAAGTGATTGACCCCTAAAGCACCAAGAAATGCTGCAAAGCCAAAGTGACAATCAGCGATGCTTCTGCAACCATCAATCGTTACACATCCCATATACTGTGGGCACAGGCCACAGGCACAAGAAAGTTACAGGACACAGTCACAGGATATAGGACATAGTCACAGGACACAGGCACAGGACACAGGCATAGGACACAGGCACAGGCACAGGACACAGTCACAGGACACAGGCACAGCACACAGGCCTAGGACATAGGACACAGGCACAGGACACAGGCACAGGACACAGGCACAGAACATAGGACATAGGACACAGGACACAGGCACAGGACACAGGCACAGGACACAGGAGCAGGCATTTCTGATGAGCAGGGAGCCACAGTGGGTTAATGTAGCCTAATTCTGAGGGATGTAGAGACCATAGCTATGATTTTGATAACACATTAATTTGCTTTTTTTACTTTATTTTGCTAAAAGAATAATGTTTTTCTGTGTAGAAATATTGAAAATGATTTTCTGCTCAGAACTTAGTACTTTCAGAGGATGAAATGCAAAGCACTAGTGGTTCACCTGAAACGAGATAACTGTTCTGTAGAAAGAAAATTCTTAGCACAATGTCTGGAACCAAGTACGTGCCCGGAAACACATGCAGGCACTTGGGGGAATGTCTGGCACGTGGTCCTAGTAACAGCTGACCCTCCGAGCCTGTCCCGAGTGCCTGCTCCCTGGCCCGGTCCCCTCGGCCTCCCGACCACCCGGTGCAGCGGACTTTCGGGAGGTCACGTGTCCAAGGTGTGGAGCCGGCACCTGAACTCAGTTAGGGTTAGAACTACAGACCTGAAGGGTATTTAATACAGGAAAAATATTTTATATCGGAAATAAGAAATTGAGGACTCAACCAAAAGTAAAACTGAAGAGAAGGCAAAGAAAATTTAAACATTTCTGTTATTTTCCCAGCTCATGAACGCACTGAAAACAGTGTCTACATTTGACGTCCAGATTGTGGATTACAAGTATAAGTAAGTAATTGCACCCTGGGGCGGAGGCTGGCGTTTTGTGCTTGGATGAGTGAAGGGGGATAGAAAGGACTTTTCTACCTGGAGTTGTTGGTCCTTTAGGCTGGACGGGACATACAGAGGCCGTCAGGGAGCGAATGGACAGGCAGGGGCCTGGGCACAGGGCGGGTGCTCTTCGGCCGCTGCAGGCCTGATGTGGCTTCCATCACATTTTCAAGAGATGTGATGAATCCAGATTTTTATTTGAAATTTCTGAATTAAAAAGTTGGTAACTAATTCTGAATTAAAAAAAATGTAGGCCTACTTTGCCCTGCTAGCTGCCGGGTTTCATTTTTTGACCTAAAATTAGTTATATATAAATTATATATGAAAATTTTAGAAATGTTGTAAAACTGTTACATTGCTTTTAAGATTCTGATACAACTAAAAGGCTTCGAAGGACAGAATTTGCCCGTCACTGTCCACTACCCCTGTTGATGTGAGAACCGCTGTAGAGGCGTGTGGTCCTGAGTGGGAGTCAGGCTGGAGAGAAGGTCCACAGGGGAGGTCCCTGTAGAGGCGTGTGGTCCTGGGTGGGAGTCGGGCTGGACAGAAGGTCCACAGGGGAGGTCCCTGTAGAGACATGTGCTCCTGGGTGGGAGTCAGGCTGGACAGAAGGTCCACAGGGGAGGTCCCTGTAGAGACGTGTGCTCCTGGGTGGGAGTCAGGCTGGACAGAAGGTCCACAGGGGAGGTCCCTGTAGAGGCGTGTGGTCCTGGGTGGGAGTCAGGCTGGACAGAAGGTCCACAGGGGAGGTCCCTGTAGAGACATGTGCTCCTGGGTGGGAGTCAGGCTGGACAGAAGGTCCACAGGGGAGGTCCCTGTAGAGACGTGTGCTCCTGGGTGGGAGTCAGGCTGGACAGAAGGTCCACAGGGGAGGTGGGAGCTTGTCCCACACCCTTGTCCACTCACAGTCACAGTCTTGTTTTCCAGACTGAACACATGGACAGTTTCCGTGTTAAAAAAGAACAAGCTGACATTTACCAGCGCAAGAGTGTCTAACAGTTAAAACCTGATGAGTGGTGCAGGCCACCCATCACACACTCGTTGTCTCACACAAATGTTCATCGGGTTCCTACCCTGAGCCGGCCCCCGGCTTTGCAGCAGCAACACAGCCCTGGGGCTGGTGTGGCGCTTGTGGGCCGCGCACACTGAACACAAGTGGACAACTGCTTCGCTTTATGTCGTCTCCCTCTCCCAGCAGTCCTGTGAGGTTGGCAGAGCTATTCCCTTTTTATGAATTTTGCTGTGCAAGGTGACCACCCTCACTGGCACAGGAAGAAATGTGGCAGGAAGGGGCCGGGTGTTGGGCAAGGCCCTGCTGTTGACTGGGTTTCCCAGGTGAAGGAAGGTGACAGTAAATTCAGACCTTGCCAATCTGAGGGTCACGCTAGTAACGTGATCACGTGGAAACTGGTGATGCCCAGACATAGGTGGTCCCATAACTGGCGATTCCGAGGGTGTCTGCACCTGGGCAGTGCCCATCCTCCCCTCAGCGTCAGTTGGCCTTCTTAGGGAAACCGAGGCGTGTGCAGGTGCAGCTGCTCTTCAGAGAGAAGCTGATGGAGAGGAAATGTGCTTTCCTTTCTGAGGTTCAGAATGACCTTGTTTTTTTTCTTGCCTTTACTTTGGGTGAGTGGGACTTGGGGACCAATTCCATTACGTCAGTGCCGAGNTGTGCACCTCAAGACACAGGTGCAGCTGCTCTTCAGAGAGAAGCTGATGGAGAGGAAATGTGCTTTCCTTTCTGAGGTTCAGAATGACCTCGTTTTTTTTCTTGCCTTTACTTTGGGTGAGTGGGACTTGGGGACCAATTCCATTACATCAGTGCCGAGTGTTNGTGTGCAGGTGCAGCTGCTCTTCAGAGAGAAGCTGATGGAGAGGAAATGTGCTTTCCTTTCTGAGGTTCAGAATGACCTCGTTTTTTTTCTTGCCTTTACTTTGGGTGAGTGGGACTTGGGGACCAATTCCATTACATCAGTGCCGAGTGTTGTCCTTTCCCCAGCATTTCTTCCCAGACTCACTTTAGTGAACGTTTTGGGCACAGATTTCGGTTCAGAGCTTCACATCTCTCAGTGTCTTGCACTCAAGGGACCTTTTATAGCCCTGATGTGCGTGAGGTTGTGGAATGTCTGTGGCAAAGACAAGGAAATGTTAGTGGTGTTGAGATCATTTAGTCATTCAGATGGTGCTAAGTCAGCTCACACAGGAGGAACTGATTCCCGCATTTAAAACTCACCCCATTGCCCTAAGGCAGGGCTAGGGAACTTTTTTCCTGCTAAGGGCCACTTGGGTATTTATAACATGATTCACAGGCTATACAAAATTATCCACTTAAAAACTAGCTATGAGAAAAGCTCCTAGATTTTTGAATTTCGAGTCCCGCCTGCATTTGCCTTGGCAGGGCTGGACCACTCCTGCCCTAAGGAGACGGTTTCCGTTTGGGGCCAGCGCACCAGCATACCTCTTCACCCCGCGCTCATTTCACATCCACACAGAGAAGCAGGCCCCGGCTCGGAGCTTTGCCTGGCAATGGTATCTCCCTAGATTTAAATAATGCTTTTTAGTGCGATTATATCTATTTTTACAGTTTTGTTTATGGCATGTGTCACTGGTTTTCCACTTAAATAGCTATAAAAGTTTCCTTCTAAGATAAATGCATTTACATTTTAAAAAAAGAGAGTTTACTTAGAAAAAAAATTATTGACCCATTAAGTTATTAAATACTGGAGCAGGCTTGAAATTGGCAAAAAAATCATGGTGGAATGTGATTTAAATCAAGAGAGACACTTGTATAAATATTGTTACTATGAGTCATGAGCTCAACTCAATACTTTCTCTCTTCTCTCCATCTGTCTCTTGTTCTGCACGTTCACAGGGAACTTGGGTTCTTAGATCAGCTAAGGATCACCCACAACACGGACATATTTATTGGAATGCACGGAGCTGGTCTTACCCACTTACTTTTCCTTCCCGACTGGGCTGCTGTATTTGAACTGTAAGTGTTCGGGGCAGTTTTACATCGCGGAAGCTCAAGCATCTGAGACTTCTGCTCAGAGCATCAGTGGGCTAAATGCTTAACTGTTCCAGGGAAGTTACATTATATGGGCATCTGGAAAGAAAAAAGACCTACAGCTGAAAGGGAGAAGCCCGCAGCCTGCCACTCCACTTAGCAGGCAGACCACCGCTCCTCCCTGGCTCGGCGGGAGGTGTGAATCTGTGATTTCTTTTTCTTTATTTTATTTTTTTAAATTATTTTTTAAATGTTGACTTTTACAGATGTGTCCCCCATTTTACCCCCTTTGCCTCCCTCCACCGTGCCCCTGCCCCACCTAGGCCTTCACCACATTGTCTGTGTCCATGGGCTGTGCGTATATGCATGTAAGTTCTTGGGTTGATCTCTTTCTGCCCCTGCCCCTCTGAGATCTGTTACTGTGCTCCATGCTTCCATGTCTCTGGACCTATTTTATTCATCAGTTTATTTTGTTCATTAGATTCCACATATAAGTGAGATCATATGGTGTTTATCTTTATTTAACTAGCTTATTTCATTCAGCACAATACTCTCCTGGTCCCTCCATGCTGTCTTAAAGGGTGCGAGGTCCTTCTTCTTTACAGCTGCGTAGTATTCCCTGGTGTGAATGTCCCACAGCTTTTTATCCACTCATCTCCTGATGGGCACTTGGGCTGTTTCCAGATCTTAGCTGTTGTAAACTGCGCTACTGTGAACATAGGGGTGCATAGATTCTTTCTGATTGGAGTTTCAGGATTCTTAGGATATATTCCTAGAAGTGGGATCTCTGGGTCAAAAGGCAGTTCCATTTTTAATTTCTTGAGGACCCTCCATACTGTTTTCTGCAGTGGCTGCCCCAGTCTGCATTCCCACCAGCAGTGCCCCAGGGCTTCCCTTTCCCCACACCCTCGCCAGCACATGCTGTTGGTTGATTTGTTGATGGAGCCATTCTGACAGGTGTGAGGTGAGACCTCAGTGTGGTTTTAATTTGCATCTCTGGTGATTAGCGACGTTGAGCAATTTTTCTTTTTGTTGTTGTTAATCCTTACCCAAGAATATTTATTTATGTAGTTATCTATTTATGTAAATTCTCACCTGAGGATATTTGTTCTATTGAGTTTTTCTTTTTTTTTAGAGAGAAAGGAAGGGAGGGATGGAGGAGGAGGGGGAGGGGAGAGAGAGAGAAACATCGATGTCAGAGGACTGGGGATAAAACCTGCAGCCCAGGTATGTGCCCTTGACCAGGAATCGAACCCAAAACCCTTTGGTGCTCAGGTAGACACTCTGACCACTGAGAAAACTGACCAGGGCTTGAGCATTTTCTCATGTGTCTCTTGGCCATCTGTGTCCTCTTTGGAGAAGTGTCTATGCAGGTCCTTTGCCCATTTTTTTATAGGATTGTTTGTCTTCCTGCTGTTGACTTGTGTAAGTTCTTTATATATTTTGGAAACTAACCCCTTATCTGATGAATCATTGGTGAATATGTTCTCCCACACAGTGGGCTCCCTTTTTGTTTTGTTGGTGGTTTCTTTTGCTGTGCAGAAGCTTTTTAGTCTGATGTCCCATTTATTTAATTTTTCCTGTATTTCCCTTTCCCTTGGAGACATATCAGCAAAAATATTTCTTCGAGAGATGTCTGAGATTTTACTGTCTTTGTTTTCTTTTAGGATTTTTATGGTTTCACGTCTTACATGTAAGCCTTTTATCAGTTTTGAGTTTATTTTTGTGTATGGTGTAAGTTGGTGGTCCAGTTGCTTTTTTTGCATGTACCTGTCCAGTTTTCCCAGCACCATTTACTCCATTGTATGCTGTTGCCTCTTTTGTCAAATATTAATTGACCGTAAGGTGTGGGTTGATATCTGGGCTTTCTGTTCTGTTCTGTCGATTGATATGCCTGTTGTTGTGCCAGTACCGGGCTGTTTTGATTACAGTGGCTTTGTAGTTTAGTTTGACGTTCAGTATTGTGATCCCTCCAGCTTTGTTCTTCTTTCTCAAGGTGGCTGAGGATATTCAGGGTCTTTCTTGGTTCCATATAAATTTTTGAAACATTTGTTCTAGATCTGTGAAATATGCTATTGGTATTTTAATAGGAATTGCATTGAATCTATAGATTGCTTTGAGTAGTATGGACATTTTAATGATGTTAATTCTTCCAATTCATGAACATAATACATTCTTCCACTTGTTTGTATCTTCCTATCATTTTTTTGGTCACCTATAGTTTTCTGAGTACAGGTCTTTTATCTCCTTGGTTAAGAAAAACCTACAGCCAAAATCATACTTAATGGGCAAAAACTAAAAGCATTTCCCTTAAGATCAAGAACAAGACAGGGGTGTCTGCTTTCACCACTCTTATTCAGCATAGCACTGGAAGTCCTGCCACAGCCATCAGACAGGAAGAGGAAATAAAAGGCATCCAAGTTGGAAAGGAAGAAGTAGAACTGTCATTATTTGCAGATGACATGATATTGTACATAGAAAATCCGAAAGACTCCACCAGAAAACTGCTAGGTCTAATAAATGAATTCAGCAACGTAGCAGGATACAAAATTAACACCCAGAAATTGGTGGCATTTTTATACACCAATAATGAACTATCAGTAAGAGAAACTAAGAAAATAACCCCATTTTCCGTTGAATCTGTGATTTCTCTCTCGGGGTTTGCGCCCGTCTCCTGCCCTCGGTGTGACCTGTGTCAGGGACACACTGTGCTCCGCACCCACCTGCCCCGCAGCAGCATTCCCAGCACACGATGGGGCAGCAACTAAGCATCCATGGGGACGGGTGGGTGTGTCACTCGGCCTTGCAAGGGAGGAGACGTCCCACGCCACAGCATGGCTGGACCTTGAGGACATCATGTGAAGTGAAATGAGCCAGTGACGAAAGGACACATACCGTGTGACCACCTACATGAGGCCCCTCGAGCGGTGGCTGCCAGGGCTGGGGCAGAGGCGGAGCTAGTGTGAGTGAGTGTGAGCTTTGAAGATAGAAGTTCTGGAGGTTGCTTACGTAATAATGTGAATATACTCACCACTACGGGACTGTCCACTAAAGGTGGTTAAGGTGATGAATTTATGGTATGTGTTTTCTACCACAATTTTTAAAATGTGAGTTTGAGAACCCGGGCGCCTGAAGAACAGCATTTGCCGCAGCCAGCATTCGCCCCGAGCCCGCTGGCGCCCCTGGGACCTGGGGGTCGGCGAGCGTGCGGGCCCGGCCTCCTGCACCCCGGCCTCCCGCACCC